CATTTTGAGGATTTCGTTGACATTAATGTCATTCACAAACTCCTGTTCAACGAAAAGGAGAATGAGAGCAGAGAATCGTGGCTGGGTCATTGTAGAACGAAGTTTAGACTTGACAATGCTCATTTTAGAGAATGTTCGTTCAGCAGATGCAGAAGTAACAGGAATTGTGGCCAGTCCTGTGAAGACGCGTGAGAGGCAAGGAAAATTTTGTTTGTTTGTTTGCCAATCAACAGGGGGGGCCATGGCCCCCTTGTGCCCCCCCTTAGCTACGCCAGTGTGCAGCAGACATGGAGAGTCATATAGTTGACATAGCTACTCCAGGGGCCACTGTACTTCACCCTAGCTGGAACGTGCTATGATAAAGCCGGGAGTGATGTGTTTGCAACTGGTATACATCGTGCTATTTTGCAACGTACGGACGCAAGCACGCACGAAAGAACGCACGTACGTATGCAGCACACACGTAAGAACGCACGCATGCACGCGCCCACATATGCATGCACGCACTCACGTTATTTACATGCCTAGCTTTGGCCAGCCTTATAATCTTTATATCCCAATCGCCGATTTATCCCATAGTTTTCCTACTTTTAATTTTCCTTATAGAATCATACCTACGTACATAATTGATAATTTAATAACCATTTTAAACACGAACATTAATAATTATTTCTACGCGTATATATTACGTTTTTATGCCCTTGGATTATCGTACGTACGTCTCGAAGCTTAATTAGTACTGAAAACTACTGCGTACGTGCGCGTGCGCGTGTATGAGCGGGTGTGTGCGTGCGTGTGTGCGCGCGCGCGTGTGTGTACACTTTATTACCCGCGCGCCCCTATACGGGTGTGCATTTAATTGTTACACATATGTATAATTATAATTTCCTAAACTCTGCTGCCTGCTACTTGCGCCTATAACATCTGCGACATATGAAATACCTACCCGGTGAAAGTCCCGGTGATGTTAGGGTGCTGTAAACAGCTGTTAACAAAACCCAACTCCGCGTTTTCCCACCTAAAATGGGAACATTCCAGAGTGAGCCCAGGCACGTAAAACCGAGCGCACAACACGCCTACGCGTCCTTCCTATATGTACAATAACTAGGTCACGGTACATCGATCCCCCCGGCATACCCGGCCACGGACACACCGACCACACGCCATTCCCGTTGTTTGTTACTATCCAGGCTCTCGCTCCAGCTGGACGTGTGTGTGTGATACATGCAGTTATAGCGCGCTAGCAGCTACTGACCCACCACGGACGAACTAGTTTTGTTTTGTTCCCGATCTGGATTTCAAGATATAGTCGTAACGAGCACAAGGCACGGGATCTCAGCAGGTAATTAAGGGTGTGCAGGTTGGCTGTTATGGAGTAGCTATAGCATTGTAGTGTGTGTAACAGATATATGTGAGGAATATGCTGGTCAACCTCTCTATACAGTCAGGCTATACTAGGCGGTAAATAAACACGAAATGTATTTACTGTACAACCAAATTGTTAACCGCACTATGCGCATCCAAACGCTAATTTCTCCAGTACTAGACTAGCAAATACTTCGTGTCATGCATAATCACACTACCTTATGGCAAAATAAATTCTAGTTCCTCCCATTTCAGTGCGCGTTTGCTTAAAACCCACAAGAAAGAGGTGCGAAATCTGGTAATCTGGCGCCAACGCTAAATTGTTTGCCAAACAATTTCGCCAAGAATCGGTTAGGTGACGTCACATGTTTTTATCTTTGCTACACCCGTACCGCTGTACCGCAGCACCCCTCCACGGTTGCTTGGCAGAGCAACGCGAAAGTGTCAACAACATCGGAGAATTTGAACTTGTCGATAACTTGCTGTAAATGCCGTTCAAATGCTCATCTGCAACACGCAAATACACCCCACGCACGCCCTGTGCACAAACAACAAGAATAAAACAGCACTTCCCTATTATCTACTTCTGATGATATCTATGAGCACATGTAGCCTTCATGGCCTTCAGCGCTTGGCAACACCGCATGGCAACAAGAGATTCGTCACATCGCCGCAGAGCGGCAAAAGTGAACACTGTTTGAAACATTCGACCCGACAGTTTCACTTTGTAGTCTAAAAGCTTTGAATGAATGTATTCCCAAGCAATTTTTTTACCTATCACACATATATAGGCAAGTACAAACGTGCAATGTTAAAATAATTAATTTTTACCTGATTTTATGTTTGCTGCTTGAAATTTCGAATCATGACACCTTTAATGATGTAGGTGGTGTCATAGGGAAGGTACAAGGTGCGGCAGTATAATCAACGATGTGGACTAACATCATAGCCTTTACGGTGGCTGTGGTTGGAGTTTTATACTGGAGATCACAGCGCGTGGAACAGTTTATCATACAGGAGAATCCCGATGAACGATACGATTACGTCATAGGTACGTAAATGCTATCATTGAAGGAATGGGATCGCGCAATAGGTTGCCTCGTACACTCTCGTGTAACAAGAGGTTTGACGGTGCGCACAGGCGTGAAGGAAGAATTAAGGGTATAGGAGAGCAACAAGGACGTAGATGAAAGTATAATATTGGTCGCTACACTCGGTTTAAGCTAGAACCTCATCTACCGATGATTTACACCGCACATCCAACCTTCTACCGATCTCTCCACCCCGGGTATCTACCTATCAATCAATCAATCCGTCCATCGATCTATTCATGTCATCCCATCTTATCCCATCCATCTATACTTAACTGTTTGCTGCCGCAGTGGGAGCAGGTAGTGCAGGCTGCGTATTGGCTGCTCGCCTCTCTGAAGTCAGCAGCAACAAGGTGCTTCTACTGGAGGCAGGAGGCGACCCTTCTGAAAACGAGAATGTTGCAATACCTGCCATGCATATGCCAATAAGGAATACTAAACAGGACTGGAGCTTTAGGACTGTGCCACAGAAGAAATCTTGCCGAGGTCTTGAAGAGAAGGCACGTAGAAACTTGATGAATCAGGGCCGTAGGCTGAGCAAATTCCTCGGGGGGGGGCAAAATTTCATGACTCAACCGTGTAATGATGAGCGATGGGCGCAGCTCTTGATCGACGTCCATAGTGTGGTAGGGGTGAGTCTGAGACAAGGCTTTCACGGCTAAGTGACCAAAAAAATCACGTTAGGGTTATTTACGATTATTAGTCAAGCTTATTTTTTAATTTTGCTCCAAAATCTAGGGAGGGGGCAGCCCACCTTGACCCCCCCCCCACACACACAGGCTGCGGCCCTGTCAATATTAAATAATATGTAGAATATATTTATAACAGACTACAGATACAGACTAGATAGGTGTAGTAAGTATCAGGACTGTATAATATATAGATATATTGTACAATAGCTCTATATTATACACTACGTACTGATAATATGCAATAAATATTGGAACAAAATATATATATATATAACACTGATGAATGAATGCGCGTGATTAACGACTTATTAATTCATTAGCAGTAAATCAAGGATTCGGCACCGAATAAAAATTACATGGTATAAATTAAAGGGAAATTTGGTTGAAAATTGGCTATACTCTTAGTTTGATAAATCACAGAGAAGCCTGTGGCCAAGAGGACGAATGCTTGGTGGTTCAGGAGGCCTCAATGGTATGCAGTATGTACGAGGCAACAAGGGAGACTTTGATCTGTGGGAAAAGATGGGTGCACGGGGATGGAGTTATAAAGATGTTTTGCCGTACTTCAAAAAATCCGAAGACAACCAGAATGAGGAATATGTGAAGAGTGGTAAGTAGACAAACTAACTTAGGTAGGAATTGATTCTGCTGATTACTGCCTTTTAACATCGTGGGCAGATGCTATGGTTGGCAGATATGGTTGGCAGATGCAGATCGTTGGTTCCTTTAATTATCCATTCTGTTCAAAATACAATGGCCTCGAATACAACATTTTCTTGTTGGCTGTATTCTATTTGGGTTGTAGCACTTTTTACCCCTATATTCAAGTATTATAGATAGATGAATTTATATATGTTATTTATGGCTATGTTACAGGTTACCATGGGTCAGGTGGACCATGGACAATCTCTGATTCTTCATACACAGAACTGGCAGATGTTTTTGTAGATGCTGCAAAAGAACTTGGTTATAAACTTGGAGATGTTAATGGAGAGAATCAAGAGGGTGATGATAAATTATCAATGAATTACATACAGGCTGTTTAAATGATGAAATATTTTCCATTCTTGTTGGTGATGCTTAACGTAGTGACCAAGTAATTAGCTAACTCCCCTTTATTAGGATGACGTATATTGTTTAATTACACTGGTTCTCTGATTTTGGGCAGTTTTTATGAAATCACAAGCAAACACAAAAGATGGAAAACGTTGGAGCACAGCTGAGGCATATCTGAGACCAGCCATGCACAGATCAAACCTAGACATAGCCATCAATACTCACGTAACCAAGGTAACGCATTGATGAGGATCATGCAGTGAGCTTATAACTGAAACAGTATTGTTCGAAATTATAGAAGACGATTGTGATATTAATATTAGCTGGCTTTCAGATAAACTTTGATGGTAAGAAGGCGACAGGAGTCACCTTCATTCACGGTGCTGAGAAGAAGACTGTTCATCCTCTCAAAGGAAGTGATTCTCTCTGCCTCGGTAGCATTGGCTTCTCCGCACATCCCTCATGTTGTCTCGCGTGTTCGTGCTCGGGCCAAAGGATCACCTTACCAAGTTCAATGTACGATCCGTTTGACATTTATCTCAATAGTGTTACTTCTGAGCCAGTGGTTAACTAGTGAAAGATACAAGATAGTTATATGAAGTATAATGAAAGATATGTGATCCCAAAAGTTCTAGTTGCACAACTTGCATTTCATGTATACTGTCTCAGGCCCGTAGCCAGGGGGGGGGGGGGGGCTTCGGGGCTTCGAACGAACCCCCCCGAAGCCCCAAGCCAAAAAAATTTGCCAATAATTTCACCTCAGGTCGCCTCTATTTTAGTGTCTCTAATTGCAAAATCTCCATCCGTGCAGGAGCGGTGAACAGTGACCACCCCCCTCCAAACACCCTCCCCCCGCTCGGTTGCCTTTGTCCCCCTCGCCTGGTCGCTTCGCGCCCGAGAAGGGGCGTGTACAGGGGGGGTCCAGGGAGTCCTAACCCCCCCTTGCTCGCGCAGAAAATGCATCGGAGGGGGTCTAATTTAAAAAAAATTCTGGGGGAGTGCCCCCCACACCCCCCCTTCGCGTGCTCGCACCTTTGGGTTACAGTTAGAAACACAGTTGCAGTTTGAAAAATCAGACATCTCACAACCCTACCTGAAATTGATTGTGGCCAATTCAAAATAGGTAACATATTCTGCAAATTTTTTTTTTTTCTACTGAATTTAAGATACCAACTGTTGCTGACTTACCAGTTGGTCAGCACCTACAGGAACATCCTGGCCTCATCTACCCTGAGTTCTGGATAGAGAAACCAATAACAATCACCGCCGATCTAATTAATAGTTGGAAGACCAGCATACAGTATGGTCTATTTCGAAAAGGTTAGTAAAACTATATAACTCTCAGGAACATCCTGGCCTCATCTATCCAAAGTTCTGACTAGACAAACCTCGATCTGTCACTGGGGAAATGATGAATAGTTGGAAGGCTAGCATACAGTATAACTTGTTTAAAAAAGGTTAGTCAAACTCTAGAACTCTTCTTCCTGGTGCTTTCCAATAATAGATGAATTTAGCAAATAGTTGCACCAACGTGTTATCTCTGTAGCTTTCCTAAAAGTACTTTTTTTTTAAATCCATGGAAAAATTCTTGTGTGCGACTTTATTTCTTACACATTGTGATTGTGCACAATCCATGCACATCTCGACTGTTATCTGTTATAGCGTATATTGAATCGCTTTTTGCAGGCCCTCGGGCATATAACATAATTGACACCGTCGGTATTGTCAAGACCAAAACTGCTGATCCTAAACTTAACCTGCCTGACATTGAAATACAGCTTGCTCCCTGGGGACTAGGCATGGAAAATGATGAAACTATTTACAATGTAGTTGGCTTCAACAAGAATGTAAGTTTTTCTAGTTCATGGTGATCTTACATGTGAACCATGCTTCATATACATGCTGAGTACATTTTGATATCTGAATAAATCTACAAGGGTATTTAGAGTAAAATATATGTACAAGTATAGATATAAAATGTTACAGATTTAAAATTGAAACATATTACACAATTTAAAGTATGCGGTTATATTTTCACTGTCTATCGCCCAATGATGAAACAATGATTAAGCAATATTATGCCACATCTATGTTCGTTTGACTGTTGCAGTTTTTGAAGACTTACAACTTTTCCGAGCACAAGACTCGTCCAGTCATGACGTGGAATGCATTCCTTCTTCATCCGAAGAGTGTTGGAGAGATACGGCTGCAATCATCAGACGCACTCGATCCACCTGAGATTGATCCAAACTACTTTGATGATGACTCTGATGTCAAGTCGCTAGTAGAGAGTAAGATTGATGCCTTCATCGATAAATTCTAAAAGATAAGCAACATAACACGTACTGTTAGTAATTTTGCTGAATGAACTCTCATTTGTACTTTTCCTGTAATGGCATTTAAAACTGCACCAGATCTTTGATGTGCATTGAATGAACCTTTATGAATCAGGAATAACAACAGGTGGCGACACTGCTCTTCAACAGCTTTACACGCTTGCTACTTTTGCAGTTTAACATAATAACATACATACTACTACAACTACATAGATTTTACGATTACTTCTCTAGGCATAAAGATCGGACTGCAGTTTGTTGAGACTAAAGCATTCAAAGCTATCGGTGCTAGACTGCGAGATCAGATCGTTCCAGGCTGTGAGAAGCATGAATACAAATCTGACAACTACTGGGACTGTGCCGTGAGAACAGTAACAGCGACCATATATCACCCGACAGGAACATGTAAGATGGGAGCAGCCAATGACCAAACTGCAGTTGTTGATCCACAACTCAGGTAGGTGAACACGTAGAGAGAGAATTCTAATATTCGCCGTTCATTGTTTATTTTACACTGTTCATTGTTCATTGCTCACTGGGCGATTTCATAATTTATTGTCTGTATAGTCACATGTCTGTCAGAACTTTTTTCGTATAATGTTAGGAATGGTTAAGTTATATTAAACAAGAGCCGCAGAGCGTCTGGGCTCATCTGAGGTCTGTTGCTACGGTTATAAACGTAACATTTAAGTCGTACATAGTGACACCTTTGTTAGGCGCAGATATGCAGATACGCAGTTGCGTACACATAATTTCAGCAACCTTCTGCATTCTGCATACCTCCCAAATCCCATTGGTTGATACAAATCGCGTGCCTGAAACTCCTGTTTTATGGTGCATTGTGACCCATCGGTCACATCTAACCCTATTAAAAAAAAAAAATGTAATTGTTGTAAAAATTATTTGTTGTTATTAAATTGTTGTAAATAAATCATGTAAATATTTGCGTTAATTGGAAAAAAATAGTTAAATGGATAAAGATAGAAAAATACAGAAAACAGGTAAATAATAAAAAGTCTGATGGGATTCGATCCAAGGAACTTTGAGCCGTGACGCCTGTGTTGTACCCGTTCGGCTATCCAGCCTTATTGGCTTTCTAGATTATGGATGTGCTATGAATATGAGAACACTGTGACATCATTGAGGCAGTTCAGGAATCCATGTTTAACCCTCCTCTTGAGGGTCAAAAGGTTATCAGACACTTACTCTTCGCACGTCAGTGGAAAGCACATTTCATGGTCCTTTCAATAAAGTGATAAAAATGGTAGGTCAGCGCTCAAACAAAAAAGTTTTTCTCTCTGTCCATTATGGATTCCATGTCCTAAGAAAAATGTCTGATATCTGACCTTTCCCCCACTGCCCTTTGACCTGTGACGGCCGAGACTATACGCACGGCGGCCGTGTGGATAATATTCATATGGCTATAACGCAGGCGGCCGTGTGGCGGACTTCAATATGGCTATACGCACGGCGGCCGGTGGATAAGATTCAATATGGCTATACGCACGGGCGGCCGTATGGCGCGACTCAATATGGCTAGGAATGAGGAAGGGGAGAAGGGAGAAGGAGGAGGGGGAGAAGCTGGTGAGAAGGAGGAAGGGAGAAGGGAGAAGTGGTGGAGAAGGAGGAAAGGGAGAAGCTGGTGGAGAAGGAGGAAGGTGGTGGAGGAGGAGGGGAGAAGCTGTGAGAAGGAGGAGGGAGAAGGGAGAATGTGTTGAGAAGGAGGGGAGAAGCTGGTGGAAGAGGGGGAGAAGAGAGGTGGTGGAGAAGGAGGAGGGGATGATGGTGGTGGAGGAGGGGAGAAGCTGGTGAGAAGGAGGAGGGGAGAACCTGGTGGAGAGGAGGAAGAGGGAGGAGGGAGAAGGGAGCTGGTGGAGAGGAGGAGGAGAGGAGAAAGGGAGAACTGGTGGAGAAGGAGGAGGGGGAGAAACTGGTGGAGAAGGAGGGGGAGAAAGGGAGAAGGTGTGGAGGAGGCGGGGAGAAGCTGGTGGAGAAGGAAAGGAGGGAGAAGGGAGAAGGTGGTGGAGGGGGAGGGAAAGACAGAGTGGAGAAGGAGGAAGGAGCGAAAAAGGACGGGGGAGAAAGGAGACTGGTGGAGAGGAAGGGGAAGGGACGAAGGAGATAAGGGGGGGAGAAAAGGGAGCTCGGTGGAGGAGGAGGAGGGAGAAAAGAGATGAGATGGTGGGAGGGCAAGGGGGAGAACAAAGAAGCCTGCGTAAAGAGAGATGAAGACGAAGAGGGAAAAGAAAAAAACAAAAAAAGAAGGGGACCAGAAAGAGTAGGCTGAAATGAAAAGAGGAAAAGAAAAACAGGAAA